ACTGTTAGACGTTGGAAGAGTTCAACTTCTTAAATAATGCTAAATTCTTTGGCGGCATTTGAAAATAAAGATGAATATTTCAAGTCAGATAATGTTATTGAATCGACAAATTTTTTTATTCGAATCTCTCCTTTCATTTCCTATAGAAACTCTTCATTTTCTATAAAATCGCTTACTTTTTTTCAGAATTATTATAATCCTATTCAGTTGTGTCAATAGGAAAATTCTGAATTCTGTGGGTTTGTGATTTCACTAGTTGAAGCAGGATCTTGTGAGTAATGCTTCCATAGTTTTTCATAAAAAAAGTTGATATGTTAATAAAAATTATTTACCAATAAGTTATTATTTCATCCGATGACAATAATTCTGATAGAATCAGACAGAACATTTAACGGCGTCACTTACTCATAAATTCTCATAGGATCTTATAACAAACGGTTTGATTGTTTCTTATAAAAATAGTTGTTATGCTAAAAAAATTTGTTGACCGATAAGAATTCAGTGATTTCTCACAGGAATTTTTCTATTGTATTTCTTTTGAATAAAATAACATCCTATCATATGACATTGGGATAAAAACATAATTTCTAAGTTGCATTTTAACTGTCATATCTTTACAAATGACAATTATTTCATTTCTGCTTCGAAATACTTGCGAGGGAGTGAACGTAATAAATGTTTAAATTATTTCAAATTCCTAACTAAAATAGATTAGTCGGAAGTCATATCTCCATGTTTTAGAATAGTGCAGTCGGCAGCGTACTGGACTGTGGACCCGAGGATACCAGGATTGAATCACACCATCAGCGGGATTTTTTCAGACAAAGTTACTAACAAATTTCACTACAGGTGTATATTTGAACAACAAATTCGTATAAATAAAGAACGTCCAGAGCGAATTAAAATTTTCCTCGTTTAAACTGATTTTCTTTTGCAATAAGAAGATAAATTGCGATAAAAAACCATACAAAACGCGCTCATAGATTCATATACAAAGCAATTGGAATATTTTTAATAATTTTTCATGAATCCTGATAGAAAACGATACGATATCTGCTTACAGGTTCTTATGAAGTTATAAGAATGAATCAGACAGTTGCATCAGAAATATTACTTGTTTTATAAGAATTTATAAGAAAATATTTTATAGATGCTCATAAAAAGTGTAATATTTCTGATGCAACTTTTTGGTCCTATCGAAATGTTCAATCAGGGCCTTATTATTGTCATAGAGATTCAGGTATTACTTATATTCGGTCACAAGGCAGCACTTTTTCAAATTAGCAGGTTCCACATAATAAAATACTTCCGAAGCGATTTAATGCTTATATCAATATAGAAATTGTTTCGTCTATAAAATCTGTAAAATATTTATATATTTATGTATTTATAGGGCATGATCAAGCTTTAATAACAATAAATGGAAACATCTCGAATACTCATGACGATAGCACTATGCCATATGATGAAATAAAGAATCATATTGAAACTCGCTATGTTTGACCAGTAGAAGCTGTATGGAGAATATTATCAGAACCATTACAAGAAAAAAATCACATTATCATGCGATTACCTATACATCTACCTAATGAACAAATTTGATAATAGACGATAATTGTGATAAAACACAAATAAGAAATGTCCTAGACAAAGTAACTATGTTGATTGATTTTAAATACACGCGATGAAAATGCTCGACAATATCTTCACACGTATTTAAAAAAGAGAATGAAAATCATCAATGGATTAAACGTCAAAAGCAATTCAAGGTTATTGGTCGAATGTATTCAATTAGTCCATCAAATGTTGAATTATTTCATTTCAGATTGTTATTAACAAAAATAAAAGGACCGAAAATTTATGATGATATTTATGCATGAGGTTTGATCGAAGACGATAATAAGTGCAAAAATGCACTTCATGAAACAGACATTTGGATGATGCCATCTCAATTGAGATATTCATTTGTACGTATATTATAAGATTGTTATCCATTGCACCCTGAAGAACTTTGGAAACAATCCAAGATATCAATGTCAGCAGATTTTACAATACGTTTTGGCTTAATTTTAGGAGAAAAAAAGCACATCTACATATAAATTCAATTCTTTGTAACAAAGGATCCGACATATCAAATTTTTTATTTATGGAGAAATTACAGATTCAGAAGATATAAATGACGACAAAACTAGAAAACAAGACGATGAACGTGGAATTCAACAATATAACAAATTAAATCAAAAACAAAAGGATATCTTTGATTACATATTAATTATTATCGATACCAACAACAATAATAGTATATCAAATTGTATTTATATAGATGGATCTGGGAAAACATTTATCTATACAACCTTATGGTATTTGTAAAATTCTGACAATATTGGTCTATATTTGACCATTTGAACCTAAATAAGTTCGTTAGAACATACTTTTGATCATCAGGACATAACTTGAAACGTTAGAACACATAATATAGCGTTAAAATATTTTCTTGTTCATTAGAATATTCGAATGAATATTAGACGATTAGAACATAAACAAAATTCTTAAAATGCATTTTCTATTATTAGAACATAAACCGGAACGTTAGAATACATATTTGACCATTCGAACATAAATAAGTTCGTTAGAACATATACTTTATCATTAAAACATAAGTTAAAACGTTTAATTGTATGATTCAACGTTAAAACATCGTTACGAACATTAAAACATAAATAAGTTGTTTTAAACATATGTGTTAAGGTCAAAATATATGTCTGGACTTTAAAACACATGATTTATTGTAGAACCATAAGTTAGATTGTTAATATACGTATTAAAACACTATTTTTTTCTCATTATGAGAACGTGATGCTTCCATCACAAAATAAATAGAAATCTTAATTAATTATTAGTAAAATTACTAATCATTAATTAAGAAATTTAAATTATCGAATTATCAATTACTTTTGTAATTAGTAATTGATTTGTAAAAAAAATTTCAAATTGCTCTTGTGATGTGTAATTTCACCAAGAATATTATCAATAACAGAAGTAATTTTTAATGAGATCTATAAAACTACAAATTATTATATTAATTTATCATTGGATCCATCAACTTATTTTGAAAATAAAATTATTAATTAACACTGATAATTTTATTTTCGATATTAATGATTATTCAGTAATTGATATTTCTTTTTTCTAAATTATCCATTACAGAAGTAATTGATAATTTTGCCCTATATTACTACAACAAAAAATATTAATGCCGAACCCTGCTCTAAACTATAGATTAACACTAATCTTGAAATAATTAAAATTGTTATAATTAATAAATTATTTATTCAATCAAGATAAGTAGTAAATTTAAAATAAGTTCTTAAGAAAGATATAAAATTTCATTCAGTGTGTTGAGAATGAATTAATTCTCAGTTCGAATTTAACAGCTGACGGGAACTTCGGCGGCCATCTCGGGACTGGGTCATAAGTGACAATAACAAAGACAACCAAGTGTGTAAGTGCTCGAAATGGCTGACCAACAAAAAAAGAGTAAGGACCAAGAGTCCAAGACCTCAAAACCTCAACCAAAAATCACGTTCAGCCCTGACGACAGTCAGGAGGAGTTCGGGAGCCCAGAAGAGCCGGTAGAAGAACCAGATCTCCAGCCACAACGGAGATCAACCACGGAAAGTACAATACAGACAATCACACCACCCAATCCTGGTCTACCTATTCAATTGACCTTCAAAATTAGGTCTCAAACGGCTACGCTTAGCTCAATCATTCACTCAACAAATTACTGACCAACAAGAGACAATCACCAAAGAAAAAAGACTCTCGCTGGAAAAACAACTCATAGCATCTTTTAATTCAGAACATCAAGTGCTTGAGGAGGTTTGGCCACCATCCCAGCTTCATCATCCGTACATTGTCGAGGATGTCTTTGAGACATTCAACTAATCAGTCTTAGACTTCCTTATGATATCTGCTAAAGTAGGTTCCAAAGAACCTCCAGTACAATTAACATCAACAAGTGGTGCATCTGACGCCGCACAAGCATTAGCCCGACTCCCTGTCAGCTGTCAGTGCCCAAGTTTCATGGAACCAGTGCCTCCTGGTTGTAATCAAGTTCAATTATCTCAAATCAGCTCTTTTAGGTCCAGCTCTCTCTCTGGTAGAGAACCTTCCTTACACGAAGGAATCATTCACAAAAGCATGGGCGACACTCAAATCCAGGTAAGAGAATCGCAAGAGACTCATCAACGTTCACCTGGAAAAACTTTTCAACCAGTTTGCTGAGTCAAAAGAGCTGTACTACATTCCTCCAAGATCTCATCCTTACTTACCATAGTAGACAATTCATTACACTCACTCAAGTTATTGGGACATTAATTGAGAATTGGGATACAATTCTCGTCTTTCACATTCTTAAACACCATGATCAACACACTCGTGAGCTCTGGGAAACTCAGGATAATGATCTTGAGCGGATGCCTACTTACTCAGAGTTCCATGACTTCCTATTGGCTCGGATTCGTACGTTGGAGAAACTGGAGCCACGAATCAAATCAGACAATCAACAACGCTCATCGCATTCAACTACCAGTGAGCGTAGATTCATTTGTGACTGCTGTAATGGTGGTCACTTCATTGTAGTCTGCCCAGAGTACCGGGCATTGCCTCTTGAGCAAGGCCTGAGGACGGTAGACAACAAAAAACTCTGCAGGAATTGTCTTGGAAGACATAACACACCAGCTTGCACCAATAAGAACAGATGTAAGGAATGTAACTCCAAACATCACACCATGTTCTATTCACTTCTGTTCAGACAATCATCAAGCAACAACAATCAAGCGTCTTCCAGGACACAATCACCACAACAACCACCATCAGACACTCAGCCTTCAACTTCACAACAATGAGTAGGCGAAGCAGTCTTCGAAGAACACTCAAACAATTCACAGACATTCAAGCTTGCTGATGGACTTGCTCTGGAGGGTCAAACTGACTGGATGACCTTAGCACATGAGGTTTCGGCCTCAGGAGGGTTGAGGGTTCAGTTGGAATGGTCCAAAGGACAAGTTCAGGAGGAGCAAAATCATCTAGGACAATCAAAAGGTCAGAATGACCACAAGACAATCACTCAACATTCAACTAGTAGTGCTAATAGCACACAAAATCAACAAACAAGTGACGTTAATTCAATTCAAACTAGCAGACAATCATCGACGAGAGCAATCTGCTCAAGTCAAACACTTCCAGGTCATCTACATAATGATCATTCAACGCTGTTAGCAACAGCAAAAGTCAAAGCCAATTCACACTCAGGAAGTTACATTGCACGAGTGCTCATAGATCCTGGATCAGAGCTAACATTAATCACTTCTCATCTAGCCAACCTGCTGCAACTGAGAAAACACCATCAGACAATCAACATAAGAGGAGTGGAAAGCTCTAAGCTAACTCAAACAAAAGGTGTAACATTCTGCGAGCTACAATCATCATCATCCAGTCATTCAGTATACATTCGGGCTCACATAATGAAACAGTTGACAGCTTTAATTCCAAAAGTGCTATGTAATTATCCCAACAATCATTGATCTCATCTCAATGGATTAACACTAGCTGATCCAACATTCAACATTCCACAATCAATAGACATTCTACTTGGAGCTGACTTTTATGGAAAAATCATAAAACAAAATATCATATATAATTCTCCAACAGCTCCTATAGCCCAACTTTCCATCTTTGGTTGGCTAATTCTTGGTCTGGTAGCACCAAATACATCAGTCAATTATTATCATATTCATCATGCTACTACAATCACGAACCATGAAGACATTCGAAAGTCGCTGACAAAATTCTGGGTTCAAGAAGAAGTTCCTATGTCAAATCAACATCAATTATCATCCTTGGACCAACAATATGAAGATTTCTTCAAATCAACACACTCTAGACATTCATCAGGACGATACATTGTCAGAATTCGACTCATTTCTTCACCTGCAGCTCTTGGAGACTCCTATACAACTGCGTATCGATGCTTGAAACGTCAGTTGAGGAGATCAACCAGCGAGACTGAATACAGCAATCTGTATAGACAATTCATGAAGGGATACGAAGAACTTGGTCATATGAGACCTGCTCCAACAATCAATCAAGAATCTCAAGACATTCATCCATACTTTCTTCCTCATCATGGGGTTTTAAGACCAAGTAGCACTACCACTAAGCTCAGAGTAGTCTTCAATGGATCCAGCCCGACGTCAACTGGAATTTCATTGAATGACATCACTTATACTGGAGCAAAAATTCAATTAGACAATCACAACAAAATCATTCCATATCAACTCACAACAGTAACCTACGGCACTAGATCTGCTCCTTATCTAGCAGTTCGTGTGTTACTGCAATTAGTAGAGGATGAAGGTCATAAATATTCAGAATCAACTCAGACAATCATCAAAGACAGATATGTCGACGACATATTTGGAGGAGCAGATTCTTCAGAAGAATTAATTCAAGTTGCTGAGGAACTAATCAACTTGTGCAAGGCGAGCGGCTTTCCCCTTGCAAAATGGCAATCAAACAGTCAATCACTTTTTCAAAAAACGTCACAATCATCAGGCAATCAACAAAAAATCACCTTCGAAGACTGCACTACAAAAATTCTTGGACTTCAATGGAATCCAAGCTCAGACACATTCACATTCACATCAAAATCAGTCACTCATGAGTCAACATATTCAAAACGCCTCATTCTTTCAGAAGTAGCTCAAATTTATGATCCTTTGGGGTTTGTGTCACCAATCACAATCAGAGCTAAGATGCTCCTTCAAGAACTCTAGTTACACAACCTCAGCTGGAACGAACCAGTCCCACAATCAATCATCAATCGCTGGCTGATTATCAGAGAAAAATTCACTCAACTTCATGAGATCTCACTTCCACGATGGATTCACACAACCAGACATTCAACTGTAGAAATTCATGGATTCTCTGATGCTTCACAGCTTGCGATGGCTGCAGCAATCTACCTAAAAATCAATTCACCGTCCACAGGGTCCAAAATCACACTCATCTATGCGAAAACGAAAGTAGCACCAATCAAACAAATCACGATCCCCAGGATAGAGTTAACTGCTGCGTTAATTCTAGCAAAACTCACCAAGTAAACATTCAATTTACTCATGGACGGACTCTTCAATCACTTATTCATGGATCAATTCAAATGCAGGACGCTGGAAGGACTTTGTCAGAAACAGAGTAGTGCAAATTCAAGAACTAGTTGCGGACGCGCACTGGCACCGCATTTCTGGCAAGGAAAATTCAGCGGACTGTGAATTTTTTTAAAAAAAAATAAGAAGAAAAATTAATTATGCGGAAGAAAGAAAATTTATATCTCCCACATAATTACCTCAATGGATCTAAAAATGTACATCCATGTTCTCTACACCTCTAAGAACATGCATGCCAATTTTTGCACGTTCGTGATGACCGGGAGTCATCCATAAAAATTTTTTGAAAAAAAATAAAGGGCACAGAATTAATTTTCTGAGAGAAAAACATTTAAAATCTCTTGCACAATTGTATCAATCAATCTAAAAATGTACATACATGTTCTTGACATTACGAACGCTGATTAAATTGATTTTAAAAATTACAAAAAATAGAGTTGTTGAGAAAATTTTAACTTGTGAAGTAACCTAACCGTTTAAGGATAGGGATGATTGTGCCGGAACAGAGAAATTACGAAGTCAGGTTTTATAAAAAATATAATTTCTTTATTTTGAGCACTAACAAGTACACAATATACACTGAATGACCTTTGATGTCTTAATACAAGAATTGAATGTCTTTAACAATAATTAGAATAACAAAAATGAATGTTTGAATTGAATGTCCAACAAATTTTCAACTTGGTGTGTTCGGTATTATTGACTTCCCACACGAGCTCAACATGCTTTTCAAGTTGATCAAGAATATGATTGTGCACGTGGCGTTAGCCTATCTATGCAATGCAAAATAAATTTATTTTACTTTCTTGAATGTACTGGGAATTGTCTTGAACTATTGATTGATTTCTATTGTTGACTACAACTTGGATGTTTCAGATGATTTACAATAGCACTAGCACTAATGATTGACTCAAAACTATACGATTTGTTCGAAAGGAATGTGAATAACGTGTACACGTAAACGAGAACAGTGAAAGAATGGCGACAGGAACTTCATTAGTCAAAAGGGACACTGAAAATCAGTCGAATGAGTGACTAGATTAGGAATTATTGATTATTTGGTCGATTGGTTATCGACCCAGTCCCAAGATGGCCGCCGAAGTTCCTGTCAGCTGGCAAATTCAAACTGAGAATTAATTCATTCTCAACAAGAGTTAAAACAATAAAAATTATTCTAATTAATAATAAATTGATAGAGACAAATATAATAACAATATTCATTTATTTTAATTGTATGCCAGTTGTCTCCCGGCGTTTTACAATTGTTCTGACTTTGAGTCGGCTAAGTGAGAAGTCGGGACTTTGTGGACTGTATTTTTTAGGATGTTTGGATGCTAGAACAGTCGGGACTTTTGAACGGTGTAAATGAGTTGGCTGACACTATTTAACAGTAACAGTTAACGATCTATTAAACACTAAAATCACAGTAACAGAAAAATAACAATAAAAGAGTCTTTGAATTGTCTGTACAGTCTTGAGTTCACGGAAATTTCACACAGAGTTCACTGATGAGTTGACTGATGAGTAGAGGATCACAGGAAAGTTGTAAGTTTTCCTGTACTGGTCTCTGCACCAGGAGTAGCCTGATTTTTTTGAGTAGTCTGAGTTTCATTGTGTTGGCGTCAGCCACACAGACACAAGCGAGTTGTTCGTGTATGGATCTTGTGTGTGTGTCTGTCCATGAGGCCGTGAGGCGTCGAAGCCGACATCATTCGCGCCTTTTGTAAAAAGGTGCTGATGCGGACCAACATGAGCTTCCTGAGGATGTCTTCTAAGAGGTAGACTGCCTGATGAGTTTATAATCATCACTATAGATGATTAACTGGTGATTTAGTCCATGTCTGAGGAGTTGTCTGGGTTTTCACTAGAGAGTTCGACTGCATGAGCTCTCTGCTGGTACATACGTACCGAGTTGACTGTTACAACGAGTTGTCTGTGGGTTGGCATCGTCCGATGATGCCCAAGAGTCGTCCGAGTACGAGCTACGTACGAATACTCGCAGTAACCGGCGAATACAGAAGACTACGGTCCGTGTTTTTCGAAAACTCTGCGTTTTCGAAGCTTCTAGGCCCTTCGAGAAGGGATATCTACGTCTGGGAATTAATTAGAGTTGTCTAATTGGCGAAAATGAGTTGGCAGGAGAGTCCTCGAGTTATCTAATTATTCGGTAGGGAGAAAAATGTTAGGCCGTCGATAGAGTACCTTAGACCAATTTAGAACAACAATATACCCATTACAATATTCTTATTCCATCTCTCCTTCATTTATCTCTTACATATCTTATTTACAATACATTTTTTCTTTTCTCTCTCCCGCATTACCCAAATTTTTTATATTTTCAACTTCCCAGTGGGAAGTTATAGTAATGGGTCCGATTTTGCGAATCCCGAATTTTAACATATCTCCCTGTTTTAAGGTCCTATGTGCGTTCGGAATTATTTTTCGCCTCGATTCTCTCGAGAACAAAAAATGATATCGATGTGGAACTAATTGCATTCAACGCGTAATCACCCGACTTAAAACTGATTAGGTCTCTAACAAAATCGGTCCAGTCATTTTTGTTGCAGAACCAAAAAACTAGCAAAAACGAAAAATGATCTGAATTTCTCAATTTATAAATTATACCATTTTTTAGACAAAATTTCAGAATTTTTTTAAAAATATGAATATTAAATGATTAGAATACTTGTATGAAAATATAATGACAACATTCCATCGAAAGAAAAAATTTTGAAAATCGAAATTAGCTGTGAAAGAATTTTAAACTCGTGTCAGGATTGAGAAAAAAGCATTAAGGACGCTATAATAGTCAATTATATGGAATTGTGTTCATAACAATTGAACATTGTTACTAACAAGTAATTATTGATCATAGTAATATTTCAATAATAAGTTTCAAATTGTTATAAACAATAAAAATAGGGACCCTTTCTATATATACGAGTACTTTTAACGCATAATTTTTTCTTTTACTAAAAAAATATTACCAACCGTATGACATAAATGAAAACATACTTTTCCGTGTATAACAATGAAATTTGTTGTAAATAATGAAAAAAAAGGATCTATGAGGAATATTCGAATTCTTCTAACGCACAATTTTTTCTTTTACTTCGAGTCGGCCGGTAAGAGAATAATCAGATTTAGTGGACTGTAGGATCAATGCACGAGGTTGGATGCTAGAAGATTCTTGAAAGCACTTTTAAGACACACAATAATTTCGGTTTTTTACTATTTATCAATAAACAACACTTATTTTCGTAGGAAATCAGCTTCGTTATTGAAAAAGCCTTGTATATCAATCACAAATTTCATCTTGAGTAAAAATAATGCTTGCTACTTGAAACGTGACAGCCGGTTAGCTCGATACTGAGCTCTTTGTTGAACAATATGTCTCTACTTTATGAAAAATATACTTAGCCAGCAAAATCTACAACAATTTGCCGCGATGAATCAATTTCAAGTATATTTTTATATTCAGCATAAATAGTACAATTTATAGTTGAAGCTAAGGCGTCATCAAAGCGTACTTCTAGACGTACACTTCCATGTCTGATCAAATTTCAGTGGGTATTGCTATTTGCAGGAAGATCAGATGTCGAATCAAAAACAGATAAGCAGTAGCCATTTTGATAGTCCGTACGATTAATATCGTTTCCTTCATTAAAAAAATATATGTCTGTTCCTGAGAATAACGTGTGATAACAATTAACAGACATAGAATTCTTAGTAAAATCTGGCTGGAGTGGTTTTGAAGGAATTTGACGGCCGTCGACATATATAGACAGATAATTAATTTTATAATGATGAAAATTGAAAGGATTCAATTTTGGATCGCCGTTAAAAGCTATGTTATCAACAAAACCTATGATTATTTGACGTGGTAATTGCCCTAAAATAACTTTATCAATAGTTTCACCATGAACACCACCATGTATAGAAACAGCCTTAACTTCCACGCGTGTTGAAGGATATTCAGCGGTAATTTTTCTGAGAACTCGACCGTGTGAAAGCGGAGTACTCGGGGATATTTTTACACGTCTCATTATAAAAGAGGCTTCAATTATTTCACCTTTGCATTCAACAGCTGAATCATATTTATAGGGCCAACATTAGTATCTGGCATCGTTTTTGGATCAGCCTGTAAAGCCTTACGAGGTGTAATTTTGACTTTTAAATTTAACATAGTATGTGCAAGATCAATATATTCATCACCTTGCCCTTGTACAACAAATTCAATGAGTGAATTATCTGTTAATGATGAAATCAGTTGATAAAATACTCATTGAGAGCCCTTAATTGTTGTTTGTGTAGGTGAAACAGAAAATAATTCTAGTTCTGTTTTTGCACACTCACAAGAATGAACATGAAGAAAAGCCATTATGATTATTTAAATATATCTGCTATAGATCGTGATTTCTTACATGAGTGTTTGGTGGTCTTTTTTGTCTTCTCCGTCTTCTTTCTTTTAACCTTGAAGCCTTTACTCTTTTTCTTTCTTCCTTTACGGCCCCTTTTTTTTGCTGTTTTGACTTCTCTTCCAGAGCATTTTCTTCTCTTTTGAGAACTGATGTTCTCTAAGCGACTGTCAAGGGACAATCGTTGATTTG